ATCATGACCTTCATAGTGCTGGTGATCCTCCTGAATAATTCTGGAACCATATTACTTCTAAAAACATGACCCAATATCCAAACTTCCAAAATGTCAAGGGTTTCGAGGCCGGGCTTGGTGGCACACCCTTTAATCCCAGCACTTGGGAGGCAAAGCCAGGTGGATCTCTGTGAGTTCGAGGCCAGCCTGGTCTACAGAGTGAGATCCAGGGCGGACACCAAAACTACACAGAGGAACCCTGTCTCGAAAAACCAAAACAAAGAAACAAACAAAAAAGTCAAGGGTATCCATGAGGGTCCATTTTCACTGAGTTCCTCTACACAAGAAGAAACAGGTTTTGGTGTTTTTAATCCCCTGGGCCTCAGGACTCTTTCCCCACCCAGGTTCAGAACCCCACAGGCTTCCTCTCACCGTGGACACTCTTGGCAGACTCCTGCTGACGATGACAGTGTGGCAGCCATGCCTACAAAACCAGATGGCAGGACTGAGAAGACAAGTAAGAGGGGCACGCCCTGGGGGAGGCCCCTACCAGGTACTACTCTAAGGGGAACTCCCCCAAGAGTTCCTTAGGCTGAATCAAGGCTGAAACATGACTGGCAGCAGGCAGAGGGACTCAAGCAGGGCTGAGCAACTCTAGAAGGACTGCTGGGTGCCATGGTTGCCCACTCCTCGGTTTCTGTGATACGTCTCTGGGGTCAGGTATTCTGGCCCAGATACTGTGTACATGGCAGAGAGGGTGTGGTGGGCTACTGGTGCCAATCCCAGACCTGTGCAGGGCCTGCTGGGGCACAGGAGTGAAGGATAGAGAGCCCATTTTGAGAGAGAGAGCCTCAGGGAGACAGCAATGGGCAGGTTCCACCAAAACTACACTTAACTCATCCAACCGTCATGATTAGATAACACACAGGACTTTGTTCTACCAAGAAGAAATTGCACAAAGCCACTAGCTTCGAACAATAGTCTACTACCTAGAGCCAAAGTCAGTTCTTGTGGGGCTCACCTCAGGTTGTGAAAAGTAGAGTATTGGGGAGAACTGGAGGAGGTTCTTCTACCTCCGCCTCAGCCTAATTCTGAGCCCCCGCTAGCTTCAGTAGCAAATTGCTAACCCTCTCATGATGCCACAAGACCTGTGTCCCCAGAGACACTCTTCCCCACTGTAGCAGCCCCCTCACAACCTATAAAGCTCCGAGGCCAGTCACACAGACTCACCTACCTTTAGGAGACTCCAAAGGTCCTGTCTTCCCCAACCCCAGGGCAGCATCCAACCATTCCCCCAAATCCATTAGGGTCCAGCCAAAGGAAAGTAAGGTGGTAGGGAGGGCCCCAGGGCAGTGTGTACCTCATGAAAATCTCAGCGATCCGGAAGCCAATCCCAGAACCACCACCTGTAATAAAGGCTACCTTATCCCTTCAAAAAAAGGAAAATGTAGTCATTTTTTAAAAATATTTTTTATTTTATCCTTATGAGTGTTTTGCCCGTGCGCCTACACATGGTTGAGTCCTCATGTGGATGCTGCGGATCAAAGCTGAGTCCTCTGAAAGAGCAGTAAGTGCTCTGAACCACTGGGAATCTTTCTAGTCCCTAGAGTCTACTTTAAAGCCAATGTTTTAGCCTGGTGGGGGATGCATGCGGGTAACTCCAGCGTCAGGAATTACATAAGAGCTACATAGTGAGTTTCAGGACAGCCTAAACTACATAAGATTCTGTCTCAATAAATAAATCGCTGGCCAGACAGTGGTGGCGCATACCTTTAATCCCAGCACTCGAGAGGCAGAGGCAGGCGGATCTCTGTGAATTCGAGGCCAGCCTGGTTTACAGAGTTCCAGATAGCCAGGTCTACAGAGAGAAACCTTGTCTCGAAAAACCAAAACTAAATAAATAAGTAAATAAATAAATCACCATTAACAGAGGGTAAATAGGTGGCTTAAGGGGGCCTTTGATCCCATGAACTTTCACCCAGTGTGGCTGTGAAAGAAAATATGCTCATGCAGAGGATGGAACCCAGTGGGTTTGCTAGACATAAATCCCCAGCCATAAAACTGCAATCTTTTGAAGTCTGTTATTATTGGGCTTCCTAGAAGTTCAGAATATTTAACCTAAAATGCTCTGTATAGTAAGGTCTCAAGTGAGACATTTTCAAAAGGAACAAGCTTCCTCCCTCAGTCCTTCATCTGATCCTTCCAGAACCCCAAGAAACTTAAGGTCTGCCCAGGAGCAGAGTACTGAGCACCCGTCCCAGGTCCCAGCAGCAGATCCGTTCTGACCCCTGTACCCCAACCCCGGATCTCTCCCTTGTTCCCTGCTTTAGCTCACTGAAGAAGGTCCGGGCAGAAGAGGTGGTGGTATTCAGAAAGACAATCGTCCTCCTCAACGTCGGGCGGCTGCTGGTCCATGACGCTGTGTGCGGGCCGCAGTGGTGAGGACAGTAAAACTGGGAACCAGACCCTACCTTGCTGTGCACAGCGTTCTGCAAGCTGCTGGCTCCGCCCAGAAACACCCAGGACCAGAGTCCCACCCCCCACGCCACCCCGCCCACCAGACTCTCTCAGCAGGGAGGCCCCACCGATAAGGCGGTGCCTCGTCCCTTCCACGCCTTCCTATCACACTCCCGTCTGCGACTCCCCGCCCTCCCGCTCTTCCCATCCCACCCCGCGGGCACCCTACCCTTGGTGGCGCGCGGCCTGCTGGGACTGCAAGAGGGAGGAGGCGCTGACGCAGACGCAGTACTATGCTCCCGCCTGTTAAACCCCTGAGTCCTTTCCCAGTTGGATGTAGGTGAGGCCACTTGATCCAAGTACCCAAGCTGGCCAGACAGTGTCGTATCAGCTTGGACACTCCCTCCCAGAGCAAGAGGATCGGGAGTTTGCCAAGCCAATAGCTCCCTCGCGTGGCTAGCCCGGGTGAAAAAATTCCCAGAGTGGCCCTCTTGGTGGCTGGCAAGGATCACCGCACTTGATCCAGATTCTCCTGAAGCTGCTCAGACAGAGACTGGTTGCTGAGAACCCAGGAGTGGGTTCGGTCGTCAAGATGTTGATCTCTGTGAGTTCGAGGCCAGCCTGGGCTACCAAGTGAGTTCCAGGAAAGGCGCAAAGCTACACAGAGAAACCCTGTCTCGAAAAACCAAAAAAAAAAAAAAAAAAAAAAAAAAAAAAAAAAAAAAAAAAAAAAAAAAAAAAAAAGTGAAATGGCTTGTCAATTACCCTCAGAAGCGGTCATGTGTATCAGCTACTTGTGCCAGCCACTTCAGGATCCCGGGTGAGATGTGATTCACATGTATCAACGTGAAAATAAAAGGCGTCAGGCAGCGGTCGCCATCACAGACCACATCAGGTCAGGAGTGGAGAATGCTCTCTGGTGCCCCGCTTGCACTGAGGGAAAGATGAGAGTAGCCTCCGGAGTGTAAGCCTCCGCTGTTCTGACCTCAGACCTGACACACATTACCCACAAGGACTGGCACGGCTACCCACAGGCTCTGTGCCTTGGAGAAGCCTTCAGCCCCACCTATCCCTTGCCACCACCCACTCTCAGAAGAATCATACGGGCAGGAGCTGTAACAGCAACAGTCAAAGAACTCCGTTTGGATTCTCGATTTCATGAACCCTGAACTCTTGCCTGGTTGATACATTTTCCAAAGTCAAGGGATCCTCCTCCTGGGGGAGGAAAGCTATAAGCTTCAAGCCAGTTTACACCAAGCATAAAAAAACTCTCATTAGAGTGCTGGAATACAGCAGTTTTCTCCAGATATGACTACTGGACCTATAAGATGCTTGGCCCTGCAGTCATGCCAAGGAAATAAGCAGAATACAGTGATAGCTGGGACTAGGGTAGTAGTAATCCAGGGCGTCTCAGAACCTTTGCCTTGGATTCCCCACCTAGTACTCCTTCCTACTGTCAGGGGTCTCGGGGCAGGGATGCTAGGGCATATAAGAGGTAGGTTAACTGAACACAGGGTCCCACCATCCTTGATTCATTACCCATGCTTGGTGGGACTTTTCAGTGATTCAGCTGTTCTGAAGTCATCCGTGCTTCTGTAGCTAGCCCCTCATCCATGTCCCTGTCCGTCCAATAAAGCCATGGGTTCCCCAAACTGGGAATGGATGGAATTGCTACTCTGCACATCTCCCCAGGAAAGGTCACACAATGCTGAGATGGCAGAAATAAGTATACCATTCCCATTTGAAGCAGAAGATTTTAATGTTTCTCCTTTGGGGCAGGCGAAACCACCTCTGACAATGTCCCAAAGGTTGTCTGGCACTTTGGTACAGAAGGATATGGTCCAGTATTGTGCTGGCTTCGGATACAAGGCACATAAAGTTGAGGTTTAGACTCCCTGGGCTGGAGGTGGACAAAAGGCAAACAGGGAGTGTTTGGGAGACGGGAAAGGTATGGGCTTGAGTTCTTGTTGGCAGAGGTAGTTGGTCATGGACGAACCCTGAAGTGCAGAGGGCAATTCAACCCCTCAGGCTGGGTAGCAGCCGCTGTGGTGACCACCGTCTGCCCAGGTCAACAGTTCACTGCTCTGAAACCACAGCTGGATCTCCCTCTGGGCCCCCTCCACAGAATCGCTAGCATGGATGACATTCCTGTGAGAGGGAAAGGTAAAGCCTGTGCCTCAGTGAGAGAGCTCCCAGGGACAATTGCCTCTAGCCTGCGGCCCTCTGTCAGGGGAACAATGTGATCGTATGGAAGAGAAAGGAATTTTGGAGCTGGTTATGGTGCTAAGAGCCTGTAATACCAGCACCGAAGAAGCTGAGATGGGAGGACTGCCTCAAGTTCTAGGCCAGCCTGGATTACAGAGGAGACCCAGTCTCAGAAAAGAAGGAAGGAGCCGGGCGGTGGTGGCGCACGCCTGTAATCCCAGCACTCGGGAGGCAGAGGCAGGTGGATCTCTGTGAGTTCGAGGCCAGCCTGGTCTACAGAGCTAGTCCAGGACAGGCTCCAAAGCTACACAGAGAAACCCTGACTCGAAAAACCAAAAAAAAAAAAAAAAAAAGAAAAAAAAAAAAGGAAGGAAGGAAGTGAAGGGAGAGGCTGAAGAGATGGCTCAACAGTTAAGAGTACATTCATTCTCTTGCAGAGAACCTGAACTTAGTTCCCAGCACCTAAACAGGGCGGCAAAAAACTACCTGTAACTCCAGCTCCAGGGCATCTTACTCCCTCTTCTGGCTTACACAGGCACTGCAGGCACATGCACAGATACACACACACACACACACACACACACACACACACACACACACACACACAAGGGACAAGGGCCAGGCAGTGGGGGCACACGCCTTTAATCACAGCTCTTGGGAGGCAGAGGCAGGTGGATCTCTGTGAGTTTGGGGCCAGCCTGGTCTACAGAGTGAGTTCCAGGATAGCTAGAACTGTTACACAGAGAAACCCTGTCTTGAAAAATTAAAAAAAAGGGCTGGAGAGATGGCTCAGCGGTTAAGAGCACTGCTTGTTCTTCCAGAGGTCCCTGAGTTCAATTCCCAGCAATCACATGGTGGCTCACAACCATCTGTAATGAGAGCTGTTGCCCTCTCCTGGTCTGCAGGTGTACGTGCAGATAGAGCACTGTATACCTAATAAATAAATAAATCTTTAAAAAAAAGAAAGAAAGAAAAGAAAAATTAAAAAAAAAAAGAAGGAGATGAGAGCTAGAGATGTAGCTCAGCTGGCAGAGTGCTTGCCTAGCATGCCCAAAGCCCCAAATTCGATCCCAGCACCACATAAACCAGGCATGGCAGTGCATGTCTGTAATCCAGTACTTGGGAGGTTGAGGCAGGAAGATTACAAGTTCATGGTCATCCTCAGCAATATAATCAGTTTGGGACCAGCCTGGATTACATGAGATTCTATTTGAAAAAAAAAAAAGAAAAAAAGAAAAAAAAAATGAAGGGGGAAGGAAAAGTGGATAGGCAGTAACAGGCTGGAAATTTGCATCTAGCCTGGCCTTGGTTTCTTGCAAGCTCAGAAGCTAGCCTATACACCAGCTTCTGAGGGCTGTCTTTCCCTACCAGTTATCAGAGCCAACCCACATGGTTACTGACCAAAATAGAATACTAAAGAGCCAGGGAAAACACTATTCATGGTGGCACACGCCTTTAATCCCGGCACTCAGGTGGCAGAGGCAGGTGGATCTCTGTGAGTTCAAGGCCAGCCTGGTCTACAGAGTGAGTTTCAGGACAGCCAGAGATACACAGAGAAACCCTGTCTGGGGGGGAAAAAAGCCAGGGAAAAAGGGTTTAGTCAAACATGATGACATACTGTAAGTTAACATTCAGGTGGTAGAGGCCCGAAGATCAGGAGTTCAAGACAGCCTGAACTACTTAATAAGCTCAAAGCTAGCCTGGTCTACCTGACAACTTATCTCAAATAAATAAAACCTTATAGTAAACATCCCACTATCAGAAACTTTCAGCCCAGCAAGACACCCAGTTCTCAAGGATCTGTCTTCTCTCCCTGCCCCCCCCCCAAAAAAAAACTAGGGTTTCTCTGTGTAGCTCTGGCTATCCTGGAACTCACTCTGTAGACCAGGCTGGCCTTGCACTCAGAGATCTGCCTGCCTCTGCCTCCTGAGTGCTGGGATTAAAGATGTGTGCCACTACCCCTGGCTTCAAGGATCTGTCTTAAGTTCAGGCTGCCAGTCTAACTGGCCTTCTTTATCCCATATTGGGAGACTAAGGGTATCAGGGCCTCCATACCTGCTGATGTGAACACTGAAGTCTCCCCTGATTGTCCCAGGAGCTGCCTGGGTTGAGTCAGTGTGTCCTATCATGGTCCTTGAGATGTGGACCACATTGTGCCCTTCCCAGACCTGCAGCACAGATATGAAGGTTGGAGAGAAGTTGGGGGACCCTAGGTGCCCTGGGCTGAATCCAAGCCCTTCCTTTTGTTTGGGGGAGGGCACCCCACACACCCGTTCCATTGCCCCTGCCCTGCTGTACCATGGCCACCACAGGCCCAGAGCTCATGTAGCTGATAAGGGATGGGTAGAATGGCTTCCTCTGTAGGTCCCGGTAGTGCTCAGCAAGGATGCTCTCTGGTGCCTGTGTGGAAGGAGGGGTAAGAAGAACCCTTGGAGAGGAAACCCTCAATTGGTGTCCTGAATTTGGAGCACCTTTCAGACACTACTATGGAAGCTAGCTCCCAGAACGGTTACACCCAACCTTTGCAACTGCCAGTGCTAGGAGACTCTCCCTGGAGTCTCCTAGGGCTAAGGGCTGATACCTGCAACATCTTCATCCCCACTAGCTTGAAGCCCCGCCTCTCAAAGCGTTGTATCACAGTGCCCACTAGCCTCCGCTGCACCCCATCTGGCTTCACAGCAACCAGGGTCCGCTCCTGGGGCCAGGAAGGCCCTCCTGTAAAAGAGGAAGAGTCAGGGGTCAACATTTTCAGGTTTCTCCCACCTAGATCCCTGATGGAGCTCAGACATCACAGGACTGGAAAGTACCCACCACCTTGTAGGAAGATCTGGAAGAACAAATACAAATGGGAGCTGCCCTGGCAGTAGCAGGAGCTGCCCAAGGTGGAGATGATTTCCCCAAAAAGGTTCAGATAACTTAGGGACCAAAGAGGCCTTGCGATGATGCCCGCCCTGGGAAGAAAACTTGAGCCTAGCCTCACATGACTCCAGGGTACCACACTGTGTGAACCCCAGGCCTGCACACTAGGAGCTTATCCTTTGGGTGTGGAGAAATGGCATGAAACCAAGGAGACTAAGTGCCCCACCTCCAGGTGGCCTGAGTGCTGGGGACAAAGGGATAGGACTTGAGAAGGACGGTGACAGGAAGTGATCCACACTGCAGGACAGGGACTCAGCTGCTGGGGGTTCAGGCTGCCTCTCAAGAGAACACTGTCAGGGAGTCTGCAGCTGTCTTCAAGCTTCGGCGCCCTTTGCCATTACCGGGACATTGAGTGTCTCCTCCAAGATCAAAGGTTACTTTGTTTTGTTTTTTGAGACAAAGTTTCTCTGTGTAGCCCTGGCTATCCTATAACTCACTCTGTAGACCAGGCTGGCCTCGAACTCAGAGATCCACCTGCCTCTGCCTCCTGAGTGCTGGGATTAAAGGCAGGCGCCACCACCACTGGCTCAAAAACTACTTTTGAGAGGGTCCTACCCCGGATCGTCTCGCAAAAGTGTACCAAAGAAAGGAGAAACACCAAGTTAAGAATTTAGAAAGGAGGGATCGGGCTCCATCCTCAGGCCACAACGGGTGCCCACTACAACTCAACAGGCTGAATAAAACCCAAAGAATTTAGTCTCCCTAACTTACTTGTTCTGCTACCTGAGTTGACAGGGGACCCAGGGTAGCCCCAGAATTCTGATGCCTGCTGCTGTGTGCCTTGATAATACTGTTCAATTTCCAGGGTGCATGAAAAGAACATAGGTTATCTGGCTCTCAGAAAGCACCCCATGAATGAGCAGCAAGAGCAGGGACCCCAGGAAGTGGCCGGGTCGTCTTAGGCCTGCTCTGGCTCAGGCTGGCTTTCAATACCTTGGGAACAACGGCTCCAAGAAGAGAAAGTGACCCCCCCCCCCCCTACACCCTTAGGAGCCACGGGTCTGCTAGTCTCCTCGCCTGGGCTTCTGCCTTCTCTGCTAAAAGCCCTGACCCTGGCTGCTGGGGGTTGTGCTGGCACGGTCCTCCGGGACAAAACCAAGCCTTCAGCAGCTGCACGTGCGCAAACAAAGGCCGCGCGGCAGCCATCCGCCCAGCTCCCCACGGGTGCAGGACTCACCGGAACTGGGGCGCACCAGCAGGCCTGGAATGCGTGGCCCGCACAACAACGCCCGCAGCGCCGCACCCGCAAAGAAACAGCCCATGGCGCGGGCTGGCGCGGTGCGGAATGCAGCGCCAAGAGGGCAGAGGGAGGTGCCACACTTCGGCCCGCCCCGCCCCGCCTCCACCCCAAGGGGCCGGTGGGGCCCCTCACCCTAGATCTCGCAGGCTCCAAGCTGTGATCTCCGTTAAAATCCGGAGAAAACCCGCTAGGGTGCAGTTCAGTGCGCGGAGCCTTGGGCTAGACCGCCCCAGTACTAGAGTGGGGGTGGGAGAAGAAAAAAAAATGCAGTGGTTCATTCAGTATTTATTATACTCGTCTTCGTACCACAGTCAAACATTCTAAGTATACTTCATGGAGAATAGCTTTTCCATAATTACCAATTGGCTCTATTTGGCTGGGTTTGGCAGTTGGACTATTTGTCAGTTCTGTTACTACATCCTTAACTTTTCAAACTATTTATTTATTGAAATTTTTGTTTTGTTTAAAAATTGTTCTTTTGGAGTTGGGGATTTAGCTCAGTGGTGGAGCCCTTGCCTAGCAAGCTCAAGGCCCTGGGTTCAGTCCTCAGCTTTTTTTTTTTTATAGATTAAAACATTTTTTTTATCTACGGGAGGCTGGTGGATATGAGTTCGAGGCCAACCTGATCTACAGAGCAAGTTCCAAGACAACCAGGGATACACAAAGAAACCCTTCTAGAAACCTGCCCCCGCAAAAAAAATTTATTTTCATATGTTTGTGTACAACATACGGTTGTGAGGTGTCCCACGCGGGTGCCGAACTCAGATCCTCTAGAAGAGCAGCCAGTGCTCTTAACCACTGAGTCCTCTCTCTAACCACTGAGCCCTCTCTCCAGCCTCTTCCACTTTAGTTTTCAGTGTGTTAGTTTGTCTGAATGTGTGTCTGGGAACTACCTGCCTATAGTCCAGAGAAGGCCAGAAGAGGACATTGGATTCTCTAAGACTGGAGTTACACGAGCCATCTCTTCAGCCCATGTTTTGTTTTTGTGGGGTGGTTTATTTGTTTGGTTTTTTCCTTTTCTTTCTTTCTTTTTTTTTTTTTTTTTGAGACAGGGTCTCTCAATGTAGTCCTGGCTGTCCTGGAACTCACTCTGTAGACCTTGCTGTCCTGGAACTCACTCTGTAGACCTTGCACTCAGATAACCTCCTGCCTCTGCCCGCTAAGTGCTGGGATTAAAAGGTGTTTGTCATTATACCCGGCATATAATTTTTACTTTATGTTTATGAATGTTTGCCTAAATGTATGTCTGTGTACCACATGTGGGAGCTGGGGATTATTTTTCATTGTTTTTATGACAGAAGTATAATCTTTGCTGCTGTCCCTGAGCTCCACATGTAGCAGAGGCTAGCTTTGACCTTTTTTTTTTTTTTTTTTTTTTTTGAGACAGGGTTTCTCTGTGGTTTTGGTGCCTGTCTTGGATCTCGTGCTGTAGACCAGACTGGCCTCGAACTCACAGAGATCTACCTGGCTCTGCCTCCCAAGTGCTGGGATTAAAGGTGTATGTCACCACCGCCCAGTGGCTGTGAACTCTTGATCTTCATGCCTCTCATGTCTCTAGTGCTGGGATTACAGGAATTCCCAGACCAGACTCAAATTATTTATTCATTTAATATTTATTTATTGTTTTTAAAGATTTGTTTGTTATGTATACAGTGTTCTGCCTGCATGTATCCCTGCAGGCCAGAAGAGAACACCAGATTTCATTACAGGTGGTTGTGAGCCACCATGTGGTTGCTGAGAATTGAACTCAGAACCTCTGAAAGAGCAACCAGTGCCCTTAACCTCTAAGCCATCTCTCCAGCTCTAATTTTTTTTTTTTTTTTTTTTTTTTTTTGGTAGAGGGAGGGTTCAAGACAGTGTTTCTCTGTGTAGCTTTGGAGCCTGTCCTGGAACTTGCTCTGTAGACCAGGCTGACCTGGAACTCACAGAGATCCGCCTGCCTCTGCCTCCCAAGTGCTGGGATTAAAGGCGTGGGCCACCACATCCTGGCTAATTTATTATTTTTTGAAACAGGATCTCACAAACTGTCTGAACTTGAAAAAACATCTTGCTGGGGCTGGATCAGGAGTTAAGAGCACTAGCTTCACTTCCAGAGGTGCAGGGTTCGATTCCCAGCACCCACACAATAGCTCACAACCACCTGTATTGTAACTCCAGACCTAGGGGATCTAACACCCTCCTCTGGCCTCCTCAGTGCCCAGGTAAAATGTACACAGGCAAAATACCTATACACATAAACTAAATGAACAAAATTAAAGAAAAAAAATCTGTTATAGCCAGGTTCAAGACCTGCCTGGACTGCATAGCAGGACTTTGTGTTTAAGTTCAATCCCAGCACAGAAGGGAAAAGATAAAACAGAGAGGAATGATGAGGTCTCTCTGTTGCCCAGGCTGACTCCAACTCCTAGGCTCAATCTTCCATCTTCTTGCTTCAGCCTCTGGCAAATACTACTCTGCCTGTCTCTCTGTCCATAATTTAAGTACTTAGTCCATTAATGTTTAAATGCTATTGATATGGTTGGATTTAGGTCTACTTATTTATTTAGGGTGTGTGTGTGTGTGTGTGTGTGTGTGTGTGTGTGTGTGTGTGTGTGTGGCTGGAGAGACAGCCATGAGTGCTGGAAACCAAACTCTTATTTTTCATCTCTCCATCCCAATGCTTCAGGTTGTTGCCTGCACCTTTCATCTTCTCGTTCATCAGTACCCAACATCCAAGACAAGATGGGTTCATTTGGCCACTTGATGGTTAATCTTTTTTGGTCTATTTGTTTTGGTTTTGGTTTTCTGAGAGAGGGTTTCTCTGTGTAACAGCCCTAGCTGTCCTGGAACTAGTTCTGTAGACCAGGCTGGCCTTGAACTCACAGAGATCCAGCTGCCTCCACCTTCCGAGTGCTGGGATTAAAGACATGCACCACTACTGCCCAGCAACTAAGGACTCTCTAGGAAATCGGTCAGACTGTCCACACTGCTGTAGCACTCAGTGTCATGGACTGAATGACTGGGTCCTCACCTTTTCCAGTCTGCAGATGATCCCTATTGGACTCTGTAACACAAATTGCTAAACGGTCTTATTAATAGAAAAAAACCCAGAGCCAGATATTTGGGTGAAAGCTGAAAGATCAGAAAAACAGAGCAGCCAGCCACCTTCTTACCTCTACAAAATCCACAGCCTAAAGAGAGAGACTTCCTGTGTACTCACGCCTTATATACCTTTCTGTGCCCTGCCATCTTCCTTCCTTTCCAGTACTGGGATTAAAGGCATGTGCCACCATGCCTGGCTCTGTTTCCAGTGTGGCCTTAAACTCAGGGAGATCCACCCGGATGCTAGGATTAAAGGTGTGTGCTACCACTGCCTGACCTCTATGTTTAGTACAATGGCTGGCTCTAGCCTCTGATCCCCAGGCAAGCTTTATTGGGGTACACAATATATCACCACAGGACTCCCTCGCCCATCACTTGTAAGTCACTCTCCAATTCCCACTTCTCTATCACACACATTCTGTTACATTTTCAGTTATTTATTTTTTTGTGCATCTGTGTGTGTGTGTGTGTGTGTGTGTGACATGGAGGGAAAGGAGCTCACCGACCCCTCCCTTAACTGAGAAGCTGTTGACAGTTGGTGGATTCTAGAGGAGAAAGAGTCAGTTTTCCTTAAGGTGACAATGCAATGGTAGGTTGAGTAAAACTTGTTGGATAGCCCTACACACGAGAGGATGGGCCTGAAATGTTGCTTAGGGAATGATACTGCTGTGAGCATGTGAGCAAACCTCTCACACACTGGCTGTGTCCTCTGGATCTATACCCAGGAGTGTGCTTGCTGGATCTCTACCCAGGAGGGTAATTGCTGGGTCTCATGGTGGCCAAGTCACTGTTTCATGAACAGCCTCCTTTTATTTTTCCATAAGATCAGGATATTTGTGTGAATAATTTTTGTTACTATTGACCAGTGAAAATTAATCCAACTTTTAAAAAGTACTGTAAATCTGGCCATGAGCCCAGCCACATGGATGGGGAACTCACTGGTCCCATGTGTGTACCTACTATTATTATGCTAAATGAACTGGGTGTGAAAATGTCTCCATATTCCTGTTTACTCCCATAGATTAGTGCAGCTCTCCGACCTCGTCAGTTTCTTTGAGCAGTGTAGGGTGGTTAACAGAGAAACTCACAGCTGTTCAAAAAGCAGAGAACAAATGCCAATGGAGTGCTCAGTCACTAATGGGACCTCTCCATCACCCTCTTCCCCTTGATCAGGGAACACCATGAAAGAAGAGCAGAGAGGACCAGAGTGAGACAGTGTGTTCTGGACAAGAGCAGACCGCTGCACTGACGGACTCCCAGCTTCTGTGGCTGCCTCTGTAAGACCCGAACAAGATCAAGCCCGTCACATTCCCGCGCAGAGGGTCGAGGGGCTCATGTGCCCTAGTCGCTAGCTGAGGAGCTGTGGGGAGTTGACGGTTTCTGCTGAAGGGGTCAGTTGTCTCTAAGGAGTAGGGATGGAGAAGTTGATGGTTTCTGCTGAAGGGGTCAGTTGTCTCTAAGGAGGAGGGGTGAAGTTGATGGTTTCTGTTGAAGGGGTCAGTTGTCTCTAAGGGTGTGGATTCTGTTAAGTTTCCTGTGCTCCAGTGGGTGGACACATGCCTGCACTACATGTACAGCTCCAATCCGTCACTTTTATTTTATTTTAGCAGGAACAAAGCTGGCAGGTAGGTAGCTGATGGTTGATCTGGAAGGAGTTAGAGGAAGGATTCTGGGGTAAATATGATCAGAATACATTGTATGAAATTCTCAAGGAATTCATAAAAATGTTTTTAATTGTATTATTATTGGTTTTTTGAGACAGGGTTTCTCTGTGTAGCTTTGGAGGCTGTCCTGGAACTCACTCTGTAGCCCAGGCTGGCCTCGAACTCACAGAGATCCACCTGCCTCTGCCTCCTGAGTGCTGGGATTAAAGGCGTGCGCCACCACCACCCGGCCATAAAAATGTTTTTAAAAACTCAACTAAGGGCTGGAGAGATGTCTCAGTGGTTAAGAGTACTGACTGCTCTTCCAAAGGTCCTGAGTTCAATACCCAGCAACCACATGGTGGCTCACAATCATCTGTAATGAGATCCGGTGTCCTCTTCTGGCCTGCAGAC